TCCATGGACTATAGTTAAAAAAATAAAAATACTATCCTGCAATTTCAGTTTAAATTAGCCTATTTCTTTCATTTGGCCTATGTAAAGGGGTCATCTAAATTGTTGTTTAGATTTATTTTACTAAAGCTAATAAAGCTATTTCAATGGATGGCCAACTTTACATCTCCTAAAAAATGGAATCAAAACAAGCATTATTTGTTTTATAAAATGAGACATTAAACGCAGTGAAGTGATTGTGGTTCAAATAGTCCTGCGCTAGAGGGTTATCTGTATTTTACAGTCTATAAAACATCACATTGAAAATGAAATTAGTAATACGTTTTAAATTTGAAAAGAAATAACCATGGATTGAATTGACAGATATGAAAACTCAATTAGTGCTACAAGTTTCGGAAAAAAAATTCAATCCTTTTTTAACCTTTTGGCTTCCCGTACATCCAGTTGTGCTTCTTGCTCGTATTCAGTTCTGGTGGTACGCATGGTAACTCGGCAACTACGCATGACTTGTAGTATGATTGCGTAAAGGGAACAGGAATTCCGGGAGGGAACAGAATCGACTGCTACACCGGCCCTTTGGCCGCGCTTATGAAAACAGGCGCGATCGTGGATGACGTTTCTTTTCGGGACAAAGTGTTCATCAAACTTCTGCATCACTAGATTATAGTCATATTCTGGATGTGGCATGGCCTCAGTTGCCGCAGGAAACACAAACGAGCCGTAAATAGGTTCAGCATCTCTCCCCATCGAGTACAAAAGCGAGTTCACCTGCACTTCGCCACTCTCTTTGTCCAGTTTCGATGCGACTCTGAACCGGGAGAATCTCTGCCGCCATGTAAGCCACTCCGCTGGCTGGGAAAAATCAAACGGCTCGGGAGGTCCAAACTTTGCCATCTTGCACTTAATGTCGGCGTGAAGTCCTTAATTCTGACACCATGTCATGATATGAAGTAAGACGCGGGTCGTGATCTTCATTAAAGGTGCATTTTTATTCAGCTTACAGAATAGCATGAACTGCGCAATCAACTCACTATATCCGCAATTCCCCAACTACGGTAGCCTAACATGGACAAACGCAATCTCACAACAGGTATCAAAATGATAATCCCCTGTTTCATTTACATCAGCCTTGAGAGTAATAATCTTGCCTGGGCATTTATTGATGCATATAGCGACCCCTGCAGACTGATTTGAACCATGACAAAACATCATATCATTCCCCCACTATTTTTCTTTTTTCCAAAAGTTAGCATCTGCTGACTCTGAATGTGTTTCTTGTAGAAAAAAAAAAGAAAAGAAAAAAAACAACAATATGAAAATTGGCTTTCTCTTAACAGAGCACCTTTAAACCCTAACAATTTAAAGAAGAAAATGAGATGTCAGATTTTAATGCGAACATGAACAATTAAACAGATGGTACAGATGGTTTACCCCATGGTAAAAGCAAATTCAGGTGTTATCGTGCCTAGATTTTGAATCACATCCTCTCTCATGTGCTCATTTGAGTTCTCATTGAGACCTTCTATGCGAAGACACCATCTTCTTTGTACCTTTCCTCTTCCAACACACAAACTTTAGATCATTCTTGACTTCGATCAGTTTTTCAATTTGCTTTTCCTTCATTTTGATTTTGTCTTTGCATTATCGTAACTCCTGTGCATTTATTTGGACAGACTTGGCAACTCTTGCAATTATAGCACTGTGTTGCTTCATTTGCATGCTTAATTCTTCGTGCTGTACATACCCAGTTCCAAGGGCTTTAATTGCTTTAATTACTTTTTCCCCTTTTGGGGTTTTTTCTCGGTGTGGGTGGATCAGAATCAGCTCCTCTGTCCCTTTTGCTCGAACCTACAGCTATTTCCATTTCATAACAGGGGTCTTCCATTTCTATATCTATACCACAACTTGAGGTATGTATATTAGCATGTGGGGGTGGAATAAAACTTGTCAAATTAAACAAACTTGGATGATCCTCACTGCAGAACACAAAATCCAGTGGGAGGAGTTTCTCCCAACTCCTCCCACCTTATATATATACTTAAAGGAACACTCCGACTTTTTGGGACTTTAGCCTATTCACCTTACCCCCCAGAGTTAGATAAGTCCATACATACCTTTTTCATCTCCGTGCGTGCTATAAGTCTGTTTGACGCACCCACCGCTAGCCTAGCTTAGCACAAAGACTGTGGTTGCAGCTTTCATACTAATCCAAATGAGTGACAAAATAACGCAAACGTTTTCCTATTTACATGTTGTGGTTTGTATAGTCACAGAGTGTGCAAATATCAAGGCCATATGAGAAACAGACATCTTTTGACCGTATAAATACTATATTTTCTGAAGGGGAAGCACTGCTACTTGGGCAGAGTGATAACCATCACCTGAGACGCACCGTGACGAGGAGCAGAGAGTTCTCTTACGAGAGGTTCTCTCGTATTGCGTAAGCTAGCTTACGCTACGGGAAAGATTCATCTTTGCTGAGAAGTTGAAGCCAAAAAATTATTCCATAATTTTGTAATCATTGTCAACGCAGTCTCTTCTGAGGCAGACCATGAGCGGGCTAGCTAGCGGCTCATTGGTTCGCTCAGAGAGAATGCACGAACCTATGGGAGAGCGGCGCTGAGTCCGCGGCCAATGAGCGGACGGCGCTCGCTCACTGCGTCACAGCCCGCCAAAAGGGGCGTGGCTACAGTGTATAAAGGTCGCTCTCCCAGCTCGTTCGTTGATCCCGCTGTCCTGGGAAGAAGCCGCCGTCGTTGAGAAGGCACCGTCTAGCGAGCTCCGGAGTCTGAGGAAGCCGGCCGTCTGCCACCTTCAGCCGCCCAGCAAGCTAGCGCCATCCGACGCGTATCCTTTTTTCCGGTGATGCGGTTATTACGCCGTCAAAGTAGCAGTGCTTCGCCTTCAGAGAATAGTTCCCAGGTTTTATACGGTTAAAAGATGCCTGTGTCTCATTTGACTTTGTTATTTGTACATTATGTGACTATACAAATCACAACATGTAAATAGGAAAACGTTTGCGTTATTTTGCCACTCATTTGGATTAGTATGAAAGCTGCAACCAGTCACATCCAGTCTTTGTGCTAAGCTAGGCTAGCGGTGGGTGCGTCAAACAGACTTATAGCACGCACGGAGATGAAAAAGGTATGTATGCACTTATCTAACTCTGGGGGGTAAGGTGAATAGGCTAAAGTCCCAAAAAGTCGGAGTGTTCCTTTAAACCTACCCATCCCTGCCCCCTGATCCCTAACCCCACCCCTAATCCTACCTATCTCCACCCCCTGATCCCTAACCCGACCCCTAATCCTACCCATCGCCACCTCTAAGATCTGGATCCAACTCCACCCCCTGGATCTTGTGTACTGCAATGAGGTGCTACTGGAATTATGCGAGAGCATAACAACTTGACTACTCAGGCCCCGTCCACACTACTGCGTTTTCGTTCAAAAACTGAGAATTAAAACAAATACCATCTCCGTCCACACCAGTGTTTTATCTGCGTATTAGAAATGATCTCCGTCCACATTAAAATGACTGAAAACGCGGATCACGTGACAATTAACCAACACTGGGCATGCGCGTGCCGGTGTAAACAGTGGTTGGCGAATCAGGGTAGGACACATCATGACTGATAACACCCAATCATATTTTAATCTATTTTAATTTATTTTGATGTATGACTTTGAAAAATGTTCTTTGATTGACAGGGTGATTTTGTTTAGTAATTAGATTTCTATTCAGATTTAGTATGGTGACTTAGCCTGACTTCGTCATACTCATATTCAAGAAAGAATATGAGTCTGAAACTCCTCCATTGGGCTTTGATTATGAGACGTGTCGTAACCGAACCAGGACAAAAAAAATCCCTCTGCACTCAATTGGATAGTCGGTAGACCTACCAACCAATCAGAGCAACGCATAAGTCAACTCCTTAGCATAGCGCAGTTTTCAAATACAGAACGTAGCCTAGCTACTTTATTTATTTTAGAAGTTAAATAACGAGTGTTACTTCTTTTACTTACTTCTCCATGAGTGCCACCAAAGGAGAAACCACAACAACCACAGGCTTTTCATTACGTCCCATCTTCTTAACAACCGTCAGAGCCAGCTGATAAGTTACACTTTTCCCGAATCACGTCTCTGTTTGAACCTAATTTACTTTTGTTTTAAAATGTAATTTATTGAAAATTCAGGAGAAGTGACTTCTCAATTTAAGTTAATTCTTGCATTCACAGGTTAAAATGTTTAATGTTTGTTAGAAATGAACGACTTCCAACAAGTGCCTTTTCCTCCACGTCCTTTTATTGAGTTGTGAACAGACCATACAGAATCAAAATCACCAGCGCTGGGGGAGCCAGAAAAGATAGCTCAACCTCCCCATATGTGACATGCAAATATATATATATATGAAAATATCAAGGGGAGTTATCTGGTCTTATCCAATAGGATTATATATGACCTCATACCATATCATATATACATTGTATAACATTTATATAATAAGTCCGAATATGGTCAATATCCGTTGAAAATACCCTCAGAACCTAGGGATCCTAGAAGACTTCTATATGTAACAAAAGAAAGAAGAAGAGAAAGGGGAGAGGGAGAAACTCTCCAGATGTTTGAACTAACACACATACATTCAGAGGAATGTGCAAGCAAAGCATGAACTCTTCATAGAGCCTTTAGCTACACTCTTTGGCCTAATGGACATAGCTGAGACTAAAAGACTTATATTCCTGACAATGTTTCAATAGCCTATAGCTCCTAGATCCCCCTGGCTTTGTATTATTATTATTTATTTACTGAAAGAGGTTAATCAGAAAATCAGTGAAAGATTAAAAATTAAATTAAAAATGAAAAATCCTTAGAAATTTTAAGCTAACTTTCTATAATTAATAATGTTTTGTTATCGGGTCAATAAAATATTTTATTCCTTTTTTGAAAAAAAGAAAAAGAAAAGACCAACCACGCGGTGGAATCGAACAGTCTACTATCAATTGCGCATGTCTTAACTCGAAATTGGAAGTGGGAGGGTGTTTTTATTGTTTTAGTAATACTAGCACAGTGCCACGGACAGGTATAAGGAACATATTTTTCATTAATATTGTCTTTAAAAATAGTTTGTGACGTGCATCTGTATATTACCGCTTGCCATTTTAGTCTATACAAGCTTTATCGCGATTGATGCACGTCTCGCTGGAAACAGCTTATTTAATGCGACCCTATCTTTAACAGCCTCTGTGCGCAAATCGACTATTTGTGCTCAGTTTAAATTGTAACATGCTTATTTTAAAATGCATTGAGGAGAAAAGGATTTGAGTTCATTTATGCGTGAAAAGTTTTTCGTTAAAGTTAGTTAATCGCAGTTTGCTGTAGTAATGATTCCATGCAACGGCGTTTCGAGGATCAAATTAAAGAGGGATTCGTTTAAGCAATATAACAAATTAGAGCAGAATAAACGGCGATGGACTGGGCCTAAAACTGTGTCTGGTTTAAATCCACTTGCCGATCGTGGCATACAGGTACAAGGCCAAGAGAGCTATCCAGTTCCGGAGGCAGAAGATGTCGTTTCTTCGGAATTAAACGCCCACGAAACGTGCGCTACCGCCGATCCCCAACCACCGTCCTATTTTGACGGGCAAGCGAGCTCCAAACAAGACGCTCATGCTGAACATGACGATTGCCGGGGGCATTATAATCAAGGTACTTTCACATCCAGAGTCAGTGGCTTTTGTAACTGTGGAGGTGGAATGACTAAAGCGCAGGTCACATGTACAAGGAGTCGGTCAGCGTCCGAAAAAGTATTGAAAAAATTGCCCGAACACAAAAAAGAAATTTTCTACCGTTTGCGCTTAGCTTTGTGCTTTGCCAGGAAAAAACATCTAAGTGGCGGGAAGCGCGTGATAGATGTGCCAGCGGGAACGCCATGTCGCACACTGTCATATATAAACAGTAAAGGGTCGGCTGAGTCAGATAATATTTCTATTAAATCCACCGTCTGTGGAGAATCAGTGGATCAAACTCCACCTGCCCAACTAGATGCAAAATACGGAAAGAAAACCGGCAGTCAAGAAAACCAAAAATCTCGTCGGGGAAGGAAACCGAGGAAACTCTTTATTGATAATTTTGGTGGGTCTGATGGACAGGTGAAAACTACCTTCAAGACGGAAGTCCGGAGAGGTCATGCAAGTAAAGCCAGACCCACTATATCTGGACGAACACCAAGTAAGGGTCAAACCATCATTATACATGTCAATAAATATGGAGGTAATTTAGTGAGGAACATGTTAACCAGTTTTTTATCAGACTTCATGTTTTACAGGCAGCAAAGTCTGTTGGGTTAAATGAGTAGGTCACTTAAAAAAAAAAAAAAATTGCCGATAATTTACTCACCCCCATGTCATCCAAGATGTCTTTCTTTCTTCAGTCGAAAAGAAATTAAGGTTTTTGATGAAAACATTCCAGGATTTTTCTCCATATAATGCACTTTAATGGAAACCAAACGGTTCAAGGTCCAAAAGACAGTTTGAGTTCAAACTGTTCAAAGGGCTTTAAACAATTCCAGACGATGAATAAGGGTCTTATCAAGCCAAACAATCGCTCATTTAAAAAAAAAGTTTTATAAGCTCAAATGCTCGCCTTGCTCTGTTCTGTGATGCACGTTCGTGACTCTCCTGTTTTAACTCGTTCATCAAAATTAACTAATCTTTTTCGAGTCAATTTGTTCATTTCGTTCGTTGAATGAACCAAATGACTAAAAAAAAGGTTTGTTCATTTTGATGAACGATTTCGAACAGGAGAGTCACGAACGTCCATCACAGAATAGAGCAAGGCGAGCGTTTGAGCATATAAAATTTAAACTTTTTTTTTTTTTTTTTTTAAATGAGTGATCGTTTCTCTTGATAAGACCCTTATTCATCGTCTGGAATTGTTTAAAGCCCTTTGAACAGTTTGCACTCAAACTGTCTTTTGGACCTTAAACCATTTGGTTCCCATTAAAGTGCATTATCTGGAGAATTTTTTTTTTAAAATGAATTTATTTATTTATTTAATATGGACATAACAATAACATTGGACGAACCAGATGCATTGTTTAAAGTGTAATAGCACATGTGCTAATTTTCAACACCTGTTGAAAACAGGTGTTGAAAAAAGTATTCACAAAAAGTATTCTCGTCGTTTGATAAAGTTTAAATTGAGCCACTGTAGTCACTTGGACTATTTTAACGATGTCTTAATGACTTTTCGATGCCAGCAAGTGTCATTCCCTCAAGAAGCCTATGGACTAGTATGCAGGTGCGATCTTAATATCTTAAATATCTTAATTTGTGTTCCGAAGATGAACTGTTCTTAAGGTCTTACGGGGTTGGAACAACATGGGGTGAGTAAATACTGACAGAATTTTCATTTTTGGGTGAACTAACCCTTTAAACAAAAATGAAAATTCACATAAATTACTCGCCCTCGGGCTGTCCCCGTTGTGTATGAATGTTTCTTTAGATGAACACAAGTGAAGATTTTTTTTAGAAAAATAATCCATCTCTGTAAATCCATAAAATACTAGTTGATAATTACCCAGAAGTCAACACTGCAAAAACCACACAAAGCCATCACAGTAGTAATGCATATGATCCTAGTTTGAGGTGACCAGAAGTCCTGGTTTTCTGGGGACAAGTCCCGGTTTTTGGTGATCCGTTCCTTACTGGACTTGTCCCCTGAATTGTCCCCGGTTTACAGCTTATTCAAAACAACCCACGTAAATACGTTGCATAAAAGCCCAACCCAACATACAGCAGCCTGCTTGGTTATAGGAGCAATCGTGTTGTGCGTCCAACAGATGATGCTGTGAGCGACTGTACTTGCCTACTTGGTCGTGCTCTGCTACTTCATGAAGAACATAACCTAGGCTAGAGCAGAGCACCATAATCATCAAATACCAAAGAAACATAATTATTTCTTTCAGGGTAGTAACATACTAATGTTACTTCTTGTTGATGTAAAGTAATACTGCTTTTATATCAGGGCCTCCACAACAGGGTGCAGGAATTTATTGCACAATTTTAAAGTCTGAAAAGTTCCACTCACAACGCATTAATTTCCACACTAAACAATATGTAATTAAAAAAAAAAAACATCAGGCAAAAATGCAACAATTACACTTGCAACAAATAGCCTACATTTGCAGAATACACAGTTACACACACACACAGAAATTCTGCTAACAATAGGCCTAAGCCTAAAATGCTAAATAACAAGCCCAAATAAGAGTAGTAATAGTAGTAAGGGAGAATAGCAAATGTTTTCGTGTGTCAACTTTTGGGTTACAATCCACTTGTATTATATGGACTATTTTTCAAAACATCTTTGAGTTCATCTAAAGTCATATACATCTTGGACTCCATGAGGGTGAGTAAATGAGTACAGAATTTCCTTTTCTGGGTGGAGAATCCCAAGCATTTTGATTGATATGATTTAATGGAGAAATTTGTCAGCGTTTTGGGAGAAAGCAGTTATAGGGAGGCTCTTTATATTCATATTGCATTTTTACTCTCACCCTTTTCACATTCTTTGTCTCTGATTGCAGATATCAGTACAAAAGTTGAGCTGAGACGAAGACTTAGGTCAGACACGAGGAAAGACCGCAAACGATTGGTGAAAAATTCGTGCTGTGCTTTGTGTGGTGATGTAAAATACACTCCTCCCCCTAGTAAGAATCTGGCCCGTATACTCAATCACAGATCGAGAGCTGGCCGCCCCAGCCCGACTGCGTTGCAGAAAGGTGCCTGTCATAACTCAGAGTCCCATCGGCCCCCGACCACACCGATTTTGCGCTTTGAGAAAAACCTCATGGTGAAACTGTGTGATGTAGCCCGAGTGTTTGACATAGCCTCACGTGATTTCTCATGTGTCTTGCCAGCGGTACTAAGACAAAAGAGGAAACGCAAAAGAGTGAGGTGCTCAATGAAAGAATTCAGTTTTCTCTTGCAACCTCCTCTTCATGGCATCAGCAAGCAAAGAAGTAAGATTGCTAACCAATCCTGGGAAGTTTCCACTCCAACCCATAGCTGTGCTTCTTTCTCATCAGGTGATCCTCCATCTGGAGCTACAGGCAGCACATACATTTCAGACACAGCAGAGACTCCAGATGGATCTGTAAAGAAATGGGATGCTTGCCTTGTAAGGAATCCAGACTGCGAGAGGATGAGACAGACCGACATTGAAGGAACTGCCTCAGTACTCCCACGTTGTGAAGACAGCAGTCCTGTTGTGCGTTTCTGTGAGAAAGACAAGGCCTGTCCAATGAATAACATCTCTGAAAGTCCTTCCAGCCCAGTGCGTCGTGTACCACCTTTAATACTCAGACGAGTTACTGTCAATGGTTTTGTTTTCAGACATGACAATGAGAACAGAGGTCTTTCACTGGATGAAGAGGAGGAGGACAGAAGAAATGAAGATTCTGATTGTGAAGTGAACTCACCTGAGAGTTTCTCCTGCCAGCGAACGCAAGCCTACATATTTTTCCCCCAATCATCATGCGCTCGCACATGCAAAATCTGGCCCTTTCCTAGAATGGGCCCTCCTAATGAAATCAGACCATCGCATCTAACTGGACCCCGGTGGATTGTGACCACTCCATTTCCTGCCACCGTTCAGACTTCTCACGGTGTAGCACCTGAATGCTTATCAGATAAGGATGTTCAAAACAAACTTTCCAAACCCACAAAGCAAAGCAAGAGCAGTCATGATGAAAGAGGAGCACTGGAGGGCCAACTACTTTCTTCTGCACCAGGTGAGAAGCCACCTATTGACATGTTAGCTGTGTTGGAAAAGACTTCAAAAAATCCAGCACAAAGTCTTTACAGTCCCAGAGGTACAATGACTCAAGATATTTTTCATATTTCGAAACTTGCAGAACACACCACTTACTGTGCATTTGGTGAAAAACCACCCACTTGCACACCAGAAAGGGCTTGGAAATGTCTAGTAGACAGTCCAAGAGTCGTATTCTCTCATGTTTCCAAACCAGCAGAGCTTGAGTCAAACCAAAGTCTGAAGAAAGCTTTTGAGGATGTTCTTGAGTACTCTGCACCTGTAATGACTGAACAGGGTAACAACTACAAACTTAATGGTCTTGACTATGCAGCATCATTAGAAGGGAACGGTATTTTAAAAAAACATTCCCTTCTCAAGAAGTCTAATAAGGAAATGCTTTCAAGTGGGTCCAACAATCAGTCTGATGTTCCTGTCATCAGGGAAGAAGATACAAAATTGCGCAAAGATTCGTTAAATCCCAAAGCTGTTAGTCGTGATGGGGTCGAAAATTGTGGTAGACGAGTTCTCTATAACCCAGGGTCACTCTCGCAAATATGTCTTAAAGTAAAAATGCTAAAAGCTCAGCATTCTTCTTTAGTGACAACCACCTCCTCGGTGGAGCAGGAGACCAAAAGTGTTACTCCAAATTCAGTTGGGCATACACCCGACAGCAACCCTGACTTTTCAGGAGAAGGGAAAAGAACGCAAGTATTTGACACCTCCTCAATCACAGACTCCTCCTCTGAAGATGAAAACAAGAATTTCACTAGTCTGTCTTCAGAAGAGGAGTCATTGAAACGTCATGCAGCTGAGAGCTTGTTGTCTGATGATGATGGGACATGTCAGATTAAAGATAAAGAACAAGGCTCCACCCTTCCACCATTTCCGGTGATTGCAGACAGCTTCCTGGATGTTTCTCGAGCATATGAAGAAGATGTCCTTATACTGGATGTGATACAGGATGATCCAGAGTTGTTCGGGGCTGTGGTCACTGAAACTGTGAGTAACAAAGATGCGTCTACACAGGAGAATGAAAATGAAAAAACACAGCAAAAATCAGAGTCGAAACTTCAAACTGGAAATCCCTGCAAGATTGTCTGGGATCTAAACTCAGATCGGTAATTCATTTAAGAATTAATAAACAATGATGGATCTTTTTAAATGTCTTTTTAAAAGTCTTACTACTGGAAGATTGCTGTTTGTATTTAATTGAATTTATTCTTTCTTGGTGATGCATTTAACTTAAGACTTTTTTTTGACTGAATATGGTTCGGTTTCTTAATCTATCATTTGTTTTAAAGCACCAGCGAACCTCACCCAACTGCTGTAGACGCCAAGATGGAAGATTTGAAAGATGGTGGTACTATAATGGGTATGTGACCTTTGAATTGTTTGACATAAATATTTTAAGCATAAATGTCAAAATTAATTTGAGTTTTAAGTTTATTTTTTGTTTCCTAATTAGTTTAATTAAATGGATAGTTCACCCAAAAATGACTTGTCATTTAACCCACCCTTGTCAAAAGTTGTTAAGCTTGTATGAATTTCTTTCTTCTGCTGAACACAAAAGAGAATATTTTGAATAATAATTAAATAAATAGAAACAATTCTATGAAAGTTAATGGGCCTGTTTGGTTGCCAATATTCTTCAAAATATATTCCTTAGTAATAATATAACAAAATATATTCTATTTCTACCCTGAAGAAGGCTGTTTGTGCCATTATGCGTGGTTTGTATAGCCCCCCCCCCCCCATGTCTTCCATCATGAAATAGCCAGTCTAATAAAGCATTTTTAGGGCCCAAGCCCTGAAAGGGCGAAGGCCCTATTGTTTTCCTTGGGATTATTATTCTTCTTCAGTATTATTATTATTTTGCTACCTTTTGGGCACTTTTGGGGCCCTTAACGTGCTCGAAAACTCTTGAAACTTTGCACACGGGTCAGAACCCGCGGCCATCAGAGCCGGGCTGAAACTGGTACCCGGGCGTGGTAGGGCGGCTCGTCAGCGCCCCCTGGAACGGGGTCCGAACACTTGGTCCATAACTCAAACACGCTTGTATGTAATAATATGAAACTCGGTACACATGTTGATCTCATCGTTTCATCTATACCTCACACTCTTACTTTTTACCCCAGCCCAACAGGAAGTCGGCTATTGAGGTTTGTTTGTAAAACGCTCGCAATGGAATGTCATATACTCCTCCTAGAGCTTTGATCCAAATTCGACGAAACTCGGTCAGCGTGAAGTCAAGACATTGAGGATGAAAGTTTGCGAGGGGATTTTTTATATCTCGAACGGTTTGTCCGTGGCGAGGAAACGAAATCATGGCGAGAAACGTGAAACAGGAAGTGTGTTATAACTTCAGCATACATTAACTGATCTTGATGAAACTTCAGCAGTGTGTTCGCTGTAAGAGGACGATCACATGGATGTGACTATTGTGAGTCAAAGTTATAGCGCCACCAACTGGCAGCAGGAAGTGTGTCACTTTCAAAATGCTTTGATATCACCCTTTTATTTTTACCCGATTTGCTTCAAACTTCATCTGTATAATGTAAACATAGGGCAGATGTAGACCTGTGAATGGATTCTTGATATCTTTGAAACTTTTGCCGTGGCAACGCATCAAACTTTACCATTCTTTTAGGATGCTTTTGAGACTCTTAGCATGCTTTAAATTGCATGAAACTCGACAGACACATCACATTTATTAGCCAGTAGACATGTGCAAAGTTTCAGAAACGGGCGTGGTGAGGGCTCAGTAGCGCCACCTTTTGACAAAAGTGGGGTTGTTAGTTTTATCTACAGTTACAAAAATCGGTATGTATATTGTACTCCTCGAGCCGGACAACTTTCTAATTGACACTCATTAGCTAGGACCCACAGAAAGTCAGATATGTTTGTTTGAATGTAGAGAAAATCTCAGAATTTTGCCAGTGTCTCAGTGTCCCTCTGTGTGAGTGAGAGGAGGGGCGCCTGTCAGGTTAATTTTAACCCTTTATTTGCTGTGTGCGACTTCTCTGGCATTTTCGGGGGCCTTAACATCCTCGAAAACTCTTGAAACTTTGCACACGGGTCAGAACCCATGGCAATCAGGGCCGGGCTGAAGCTGGTAACCGGGCGTGGCAGGGCGGCTCGACAGCGCCCCCTGGACTGGGATTCAAAAATTTGTCCATAAATCAAACACACTTGCATGAATTAATATGAAACTCGGTACAATTATAGATCACATCAGGCCAAACAACTTTCGTGCTCTAAGTTTTATTACAGTTCAAATGGAAGTTATTTATGAATTATGAATTATGGGTTGTTTGAATAATTGTCCTAGGACAAATACATCAAATTACAACGCATGTGTTTACCAATCACAACCAAACTCGGTGTGCATGAAGTCAAGACATTGAGGATGCTCAATTCCGGACGGATTTTTGATATCTCGAACGGTCTGGCCGTGGCGAGGAAATGAATTTTATGACTAAAAAAGGACACATAAAGTGTGTTATAACTTTGCTCATTTTACCTACAGTTACAAAACTTGCCACGTATATTGTTCTCGTCAAGCCGATCAACTTTCCAATTTAAAGTCATTCGCTCTGAGCAACAGAAAGTCAGATATTGTAGTTTGAATGGATTTAATTCCCCTGCGATTCTCTCTCTCTCTCTCTCTCTCTCTCTCTCTCTGTGTGTGTGTGTGGGTGTGTGTGTCTGTGTGGGGAGGGGAGGGCTGTTGTCTGTGTTTATGTGTGTGTGTGTGGCTGGCTGTGATTTTTCCTACAAGTCCTTGTCTCTAAGTCCTTGTCTTTTTGCATAACAATTTTGCATAACAATATTTTTAAATGACAAAATAGGCATATAACCCCCATCTTTTAAATGTATAGATTGCTTTAAATAAAAGTAAGATTGTATTTGTAATTGAAGTTGAATGAATTTAAAATTCATGTGCTATATTTCAATATATTTGTTTTCCTTAAGATTTTAAAACACTAACTTCATTCTTATCTGAATTACAAATATTTGTTTCTGTATAAAATAATACTCTGACTAAAAACACATTTGATGTTTTTTTTTGGTATTTTTATTTACATGTATTTATGTGTGTGTGTGTGTGTGTGTGTGTGTATAAAGTGCAGGGTTTTTTTTAGATAAAGTAGAATTTCTATAACTATGTGTTGAACTAATAAATCACTCTTGTGTGTGTTAAACACAATCTACTTAATACAGACAACTTCATTATAAAGATAAATAACAAATCCAAAAAATATATGATTATAATCTATGACAAAAAAAGCCATTACAAACTATATTATTGGAAAATACACATTGCTCTTTGTATTGTTGTAAAATATTCATGAAAAACAAGATAACAAAAATCAAAAAGATAAATTATTTTAGATATAGCCATGTTTTAAATGTATAGCAGAGATGTTAATTGAGGCAGCAACATACAAACTTTCTAGAACAACATGGACCTGGATAGCTGGTTTTTATGGAGGACAGTGAAGAGGAAGAGGGTGCAAATCAAACAGCTCATTCTCAGACTACACAGCAAACAGCTTAAGTTTTTAGTGCTTTGTTTGAGGTTTTTAGTGCTCTGTCCTATCTATTATCAACATATAATAGATGGAACAGAACAAGAAAGGCAATTAATAATCTGTCATTGCGTCACTGCATTATGATATGAAAGGCTCAGTACAGTGTGGCACAAAACGCTTATGCGCATCCCGAGTGGAGAATGATGCGCTTAAAGCCACATGGAGTTACAGCGCACAGCGCATCGAGTCCGCATTGATGCAAGCTCTACAATACACTTCTTTTTGATAGTCAAAGCGGGGGTTACGTTTTTACACGTCGTACAGAATAACCCTAAAGGCACCAAGGTGGCGGTGCCACCGGCTTTATATTAAATATAAATATAGCTGTGAGCAGCGATAAAGGGCCAAAGCCGGCGGTACCACCATCCCGGTGCCTTTGGGTAACTAAAGGCATCGGGGTTGCGGTGCCACCGGCTTGGGCCCGCAATCGCTGCTCGCAGCTATATTTTATAATTTTTTTTAAAGAAGAGTGCCTTGGATATTCTTTAGTGTTCGGCAGAAGAAACAAATTCATACATGTTTCGGATAACATAAGATTGAGTAAATGATGACAGATTTTTTTCCCTTTAGGTGTGTGAAGGTCTCAATTTCTTTTAGTTGTTGATCAAATATTAGAGCTTTTTCTTATCTTATTTTTATAAGAAAGTGACTCATTTTCTGTTTTTCACCTACAGTAAAGGAGACACAGAGTTACTTAGCTCAGCCTCCCCAGTGTATGAATACTTTAAAGTCAGAGGTCAGTTTGCATTGCTCCAAAACACTTGCACATTATATTGTGATGATTTTATTATAAAGTGTGCCGTTATGCTAATTGTGTGGCTTCTCCTCAAGCAAAAGGGACACTAGTTTTGGGGGGAAACCTGCTTCTTATCCTTTCAATTCTGTTTGTTGCTGCTAGTGGACCAAAAATGAAACTTTTAACACTTATTTGATGTTTGGTTCTGAACATAAATTGTGATGAACAGAGGGTTAATGTTTTGTGTCCTCATCTTACAGCATGCCACAGACTGCAATAACCAAGAGATGAGAGAAACAAACAATCTGTCTGCTATTACAGTAAAAAACACAAGAGCAACAAGTCTTGTAATGAACACATGCGGTAATGGTAGGTCAAACTCAACGTCAACCTAAGATCTGAGAGTAATCTGCCCGAAATGTTCAAGTTTGCTTATGAATATATGTATTGTGTCGAAAATATACGGTCAAATTAAGCAATCTAACCATAAATGTCACATGTATCATGTTTTATGCCCAAGGGGTTGAAGTGACTGCAAAAGAGACTTCTGCTTTGAGGAATGTAAACAGCAGTGTGAGTATACTCAATCTTTGACACGTATAGATAAGAGCACACAAAATGTTAGTGTTATATGTATTTTACCATTACCTTTCTATTTTATTTATATTTTTATGCATTATCCACATGTTGCACATTTTGTACCAAACTTCTCTCTGTCTTCAGTATTGTTGGTACCACTTTAGTGAATATAGCACCTGCCTGCGAAGTGTCTGTTGGTTCCTGCACACACCAAGAGATGGAGACGAAAAGGTCTGTGTTGTAATATAATTCTGGTTCAGTGTTTTTTGACATGAATGATTGTTTGAGAATCATCTGAGTTTGTGTTTATGGTTTGCATTGTTTTGTTTCAGTTCTGCATGGATATAGTGAAGAAGTTCTGTCATGTTGGTAAACGTGGTCTTATTCTACGAGCAGGTAACAGAACTTAACTTATTAAAGAAATGGAGGGTGTGCATTGATGACATTTTACCAACGGGACAAGCCCCCTCAGCCAGACTGTGTGGCAAAACATCCTGCAACACGACTGGCTTTAATAGGGCTTTACTGCAAAAACAGAAGTTAAAGGGATAGTTCACCCAAAAATGAAAATTCTTTCATCATTTACTCACCCTCAAGTTGTTCCAAACCTCTATGGGTTTATTTGTTCTGCTGAACACAAAGGAAGATATTTGGAAGAATGTTTTAAAGTGGGGGTTGACTGGGATTTCACTTTTTTGATTTTAAATAGTGTGTAATGTTGCTGTTGGTGCATGAAGAGTATCTGTAAAGTTGCAGCGATGAAAGTTCAGTGTAAGCAGAGATATTGTCTTTTAAAAATCAGGAAGTATAATAGCCTACAAAAACGACTCGATTGGGACTACAGCTGGGTTTTAGACATCACTAACCCATACATTTGCATCAACCCTTCCTCCGGAATATGCACAAAAGGGCATGCGCATATTTAAGCGGCTCGTCGAGTGTTTGATCTTCTGTGTTCAAGCTTACCATGGACGCTGTTCTTTGTCAACAATGGATACACTTTATGTTTGTTAGCTGTCAGGTCTTCTGTGTTTGAGATTCCCACGGATGCTGTACTTCGTCAACAATGGATACAATTTATGTTTGATTATGTTCCTGAAAGTGACGACCGTAATTTAGCTCTCTGTGCTGCGCATTTTACGGAAGACAGCTTCCAGAATCTAATTCAACACCGGATTCAACAAGAAACTGTTACAAAAACATGAAGCAGTTCCAACTTTGAAACGAGAGACAGCAGTTGTTGGGCCACAACCTGTAAGTAGGCGAAGACTTCATCATTTTAAATGTATTTGCATGTTTAATTCCAGACGTAGCCTTGTGTTGTACTTTTTTCAAATGCCAGCGCTGGCTTTATAGCCACTATAGGCTACTAGTTATGCTATTTTGTGTCTACGACAAACGCGTACAAAGATTATGAACCTGAATTTTGTATAAGTACTAATGTTTTAAACATATTTTTCATGTATATATGCTTTATGACGTTATTTTCGATTTGATCAAGAACGTAAACTAATGTATAACGTTAGTAGCCAGTCAATTGCTATTGTTGCTGGTCAGATGCTATTGTGTAAAACAAACGTGTATAAAGTTAAAAAAATGTAGCAAATTATCATTTAGAAATCAAAAGTTTAGTAAGAGCAGTGTGTGGTGAGGTTCTGCTTGAATCTCTTTGTCGCCGTTTTCTCGGTCTGATTCTGCCTCAAACTGATAACAGTATTGACCATAGTATCGTCACCTTTATTTACATGGTTGGACCTTTGGCATGCATGTTTCACCCGTAAAGGTAATGGGCGTAGACCTTCCGGACAACGTGAGCGACAGTTTAGCCAATCACAACACACCGGCCCAAACTAACCAATCTGAGCCCACTGTGTGTTTCTGAGGGAGTGTTTTCATAGAATCGGGAAGTGAACCGCTCGTTCATGGGACAGAGGAGAGCGCGGCTTACAATAAAAGTGAAATTTATGAAAAATAAGACTTTAAAAAAGAAAAACCACGAATACATGATATATTGCACCCCATAAACACAATCATGCAAAGAAAAAAAGCAGTCAACCCCCCCTTTAATCAAACAGATCTCAGTCCCCATTGACTTCCACAGTAGGAAAAAATACATACTATGATAGTCAATGGGGATTGAGATTAGGGCTGAACGATTATGGAAAATAATCAAATTGTGATTTTTTTTTTTTTAACCAATATTGCGATTGCGATTTAATATGAGATTTTAAAAAAAAGTTCTTTACCTTCTGTATTAGTCGACAAAGACAAGCAATAAATCATTGTAGAGTAGGGATGGGAATCTTTAGGCAGCTCATGATCCGATCTACTTTTTTTTATTAATTAATCTTAATAACACATAAAATATGTATTTAATTACATGTGTAAAAACACATTCTTTGAAAAATAATTATTAAAAAAAAAACATTTACTTAAACCAATGTTAAGAATTTTAAATAGGCTTTATAAAATAATATATCTTCAAAATATAAAAGCTAGTAAATAAAGAGAAACAAAAAAAAAGCATTACAAGCAATAAAGAAAGAGTGGTCTCAGTATTTAAAAGTAGGCTGTCTGAATGGTTATCATTCAAGAGCTGGAGTGATTTTCCCCCTCAGTTTAGATATAAGCTGCATTCACACTAATGCACATATCTCTTGAAATTGTAAATGTGCTTTGTCCTGTTGGTTTAAGAACTGACCGTGTTTACATTAATTTCGCGTCATAAAAGCATTTTGACATGCAAGTTTATGCACATTTAACCAATGAGTCGGTCACGGCCGCATGCACGAGCGCTCTTCACAAAGCGCGCGTTAGTATTTTAAAATGAAAGCAGCCTTCTCAGTGATTTTCATAGTTATAATGTATAAGCCAACTACTGCATTCCAAAAGACATAAATAATGCCTTTGTGAAGCATTTGTAAGGAAAATTCCCGCGGGAGAGAACGCGCACTGCTATAACATCAAGCAAAGCGGCAAAACCTGTGCAATATGAAGCCCGCGAATGTCCTTGTAATTCGGTTCAACCACGAACTTTATGAATCGAGCGGTGTCGTGTGTGTGTGTGTGTGTGTGAGAGAGAGAGAGAATAGAACCAAGCAGAAAACGGTTCGTTTCTGAAGCACGCGCAGCGTCATCACGCATCTGTGTAAATTAAGCTCAGACTCGATTCTGAAATTCTCTGAATCGATCCAGGATTGTTGGGGAGAGAATAAATAACACAATATCACATACATTAAATAAACTGTTCTTTTCTGAACGCCAGACCGCGTAGCGTGGCAAGTTGATGCTTGATCTTACAGACTGCTCCCGCGTGTCACGTGACCAGTGTAATCGCAGCTCTTGCGATTACAAAATCGTGTTTCATCATAACGCGATTTTATCGCAAATGCAATTAATCGTTCAGCCCTAATTGAGATCTGTTTGATTGTAGTAACACCAGTGTAAAAATGTTGGCTAGTAGAAGCTGATTTTGCCAGTTGATAACAGACCCACTACAGAGCGTCCGGTGAGAGACTTTTATCAGAGATGATCGGGTATTCGGGAATAACCCATTTATTGTCACCACAACTCAGTACACTGAACAACTTCAACTTTGCGTGTGTGTGTGGTTTTCTATTGATAAAGATATAAGAAAAAATAGATAAGTACAAATAACAATAACAAATAATACTAGTAGAAAATAAACATATAATATAGTAAACAGTAATCTCCGTAATCTCTAAATTGCTATGATTAATACAGTACAATAGGCACAAATGTGCCATTATATGAAAAAGTACACCAATAGAAGTTACGAATACAGAGCGGTTGTAATTCGACACCTTTGCGCACTGAGGAAAGAAAAAGGAGCTGCTCTGTAGCACATTAGTGCGCATGCGCCCAAAGAGTG